CCGTGATAAGCAGGCCCCTGGGGGGCAGAGCCGGCACTCTGCCGGTTCGGATAGCTGTACCCGATCTCGTTGCGCCCTTGCCACATGGCGCCTTGCTGTGGGCACTCAGGAGCGGACTGTATGGGCCCCCCCATCATCTGAGGAGGCATATTTTGCTGAGCACCGGAGCCAGGGGGAGCTGAGACCCTGTCTCTGCCAAATTGGAAGGGGAACTGGTTCTGCGGCCCTCCGGCAGATCGGCGGTCAGCAGCAGGGTATGTACTCCCGTACTGGTTATACAAGTCCTGCTGCGGAGACGGCTGCGCCGTTTGCTGCTGGCTCGGTTGCTGGGTCTGCGCTGGAGGCAGCTGCTGCTGCGTCTGCCCCTGCCCGGCGCTGTACGGGACGTTGTACATCTCCCCTTCGTGTCGCTTCGCGGGCGGGCCGTAGGTGCCGTCCATCGGTCGCTTGTAATTCTACAGAGAGAAGGAAAGCGTCGGCGATATGAGATGATCTGCTTCGGAACAAGTCAGCTAAACCTCAGCGGGCAAATCTAGAAGATACGCCCCGCGGCACGGCCTGCGAGAGGCGAGACTTGTCCACGAACATGAAGCTGGATGAACATGAACACGAAGCTGGATCAGTCTTTCAGTTTCACAAGCCAAGACCAATTCCTTGCGGCTGGCTGGGTAGTTTCCTTGTGGATTCTACAAGGATGCCTTGGGGGCAGAAGCCTGCCCACAGAAGGACTTTCCCTGTAGAAAAGGCTCAGCTCTAGGATACATTCACCGCAAACCAAACTGTGCACAGGCACTTGTTTCCCTTTCACATCCAGGAATTTTATCAGACCCTATTTCTCTTGTATTTCCCAGAAAATGGAGGTTTCTGCTGAAACATCAAGCAAGATGCATTAGAAACTGTTCTACTTTCTGCTTCTTCCTTTCCTGTAGATTTCGAAACACTGAAAGGAGCAAGATCTGTTCTCCCTCATACTTCTTTTAAGTGCAAATGGAGAAAACAGTCCGTTGCCAAGACAAAATTAAAATCCCAGATCTCTCTTGCCTCCAAGGGTCTACGCTCTAGCTGCTACACCGTCTACTCAGAAGCTCCACGGTCATGACTGGCTTCAGACGGAGCTCTAGGGCTTCAAAGATGACAAGTACCAGAGTAACTTGAACTCTTGGCTCAGAGCCCCGTGACTCTGGTTGCAGAGCCAAACTGCAGAGCAGTTGGAATTATTCTTAGCACAGCTGAGTGAGTGCCCTCTGTATACTCTCCTAAACCAGAGGACTCCAAATTATCAGGAAAACATTATGGGTCCTGGCACTGATACAAAGAGCAAGTTGTATACAAGGATTATGGAAGGAGATGTATGTTCCTTCAAACTCTGTCCTGAAACAAACCTGATGTTTTTGGGAACAGCGAGTAGGAGGCAGTAGAGGAGCGGAGGCAGGTCTGAAGCCTTTGTCTGCAGGCTCAAAGACACACACACACACAAAAAAAAGCAGCAGCCCTGGGTTTTGCAGGATGATCACCTGAAACAGCTCCCCCGAACCATCAAGGACTTGCTCCAAATTCATCCGATCACTTCAATCGAAAGCATTACAGAAACACGATGGGATTCAGAAAGTTCCAGAGGAGCAGGGAAGCCCAATAAAGCTTCCCGATCTCCTGCTGCCTGACCAGAACGCACGCGTCTGCAAACTGCAACAACCTCCATTCTCAGAACATTGTTTTGCTAATAGAACACTGGAAATGCTAATTAAAACTTATTTAGACTACCTGGAAACTGGAGAAAAAAAAAGAAGAAAAACCGCCCTCCTATACAAGATACTTAATTATACACATTCTTAAAGCAAACACACAGCCCAAAGAGTTTTCATCCTCCTCACAAGTTTCAGAGATAAAACTCTTCTGACTCTCAAACAAATCCTAGACCTTGTGATACTTTACCTGCTGTTGCTGTTGATACATGGTAGTTTGTTGGCTAGGGAAGGGGTTGCCCGAGGATGTGCCTTGAGTGGAGAATTGATTGCCATAGGAATCATGTCTGGAGAAGAAACAGATGCATTACTTGTCTGATCAGACACACGCTTCGCTTTCAGAGCGCCCGAGCTCTCTAACTGGGAACCCCCTGCACAGACCTTTGCTGCTGCTGCTGCTGCTGCGGGTAGCGGCTGGGAGAGTACATCCCCGACTCCGGGGTGGAAGGCATGAGGTTTGGCTGCGGAGCTCCGGTCGCTAAGTTGCCCTCAGGTCCCATGCCGGGCTCCGTCCTACACAGAAACAAAAAGAAAAAAAAGCCCCACTTCAGTTCACTCTCACTCCTCAAATGGAAAAGGACGATCAGCAAAGCCACGGTAGCGAAGGCAAAGCGATCATTTGTTGGGAATCAAGCAAATCAGGATCTCATTCAAGCACCCACCTCACTCTGTCGTAAGGACCTCCGTAGGAGTAGTGTTGCCGCTGCCCCATGGCCATGTTACCCATCCCTGGACCTGCAGCACGATTGTAAGGGTCACCCATACCACTGTTGGGGGCCTGCCCTGAGGACATGAAGGGATCGCTTCCTGGAGCTGAAATATTAAAAGAAGGACCAATAAATATGCCCATCCCTGCCTTAGAAAGGTACATCCCATCTTCTGGGGAAGAAGGGCAAGGAAAAGGTCTCCTACAGCACGTTCCTGCATCCAGCCAGATACAGGGATTAGTACTCAAGGGGAAAAGGGAGAGGAGCACTCAAGGACTTCCTCACCTTTCCTCATACTGCTGTAAGGATCTTTATTTGGCTCGTAAGACATGCGACCCATCATGTCGGAGGTATTCATGCTGGGCTGGTACCCTGGATTTGGAGTCATGGAGTTCCGTTTCTGAAACGTAGGATCACTTCCATCTGCAAAGGCATCCTGAAGGCCCACTGAGTTAGTCCTGATCAAAAAAAAAAAAGAAAGAAAAAAAGAAAAACCAAAACAACACATGGGATTACAGAGGTCCACCATGCTCTTCAGGATACTTTTCACCACGTGTTCCCTCTCGGGTACTGCTATCCCCTAGGGAGACCACAGTCACACTCCTCCAACAAACGCACAAAGAACTGCCTCTGGCAGAACACTGTCCTCAGACCCAACCCCAAAAGTAATGATCATTCACATGAAGGTGCAGAGTCAACGATGTTGCTCTGAGAAGGAGCAAAGCCAAGGAGTCCCACCCAAATAGGTACTCAAGTCCCCAGCCACCGGCAGCACTGACCCAGGAGCGACCTCACATTCACAACTTGCATCCAGCGCAGAGCAAGAGGCTGCGACGGTTTCCTACCTGATGCCTGGCAAAGGGGGCATCTGACTGTGTGGCGTAGATGCTGGAGTTGGTGGCTTCAAATCTCCTCCTTCCGCCATGGAGCTGCTGGTGGACTGAGGTGTCTGAGGACCCTGCATTGAGCCGGAACCCGCTGCAAGAATAGAAACGTGGTGTGAGCAGCTCTGCACCCCACAGATGCAACCCAGAACCTCAGACTCAAAAAAAGGAGAGCAAAGAGTCCTTCAATGAAACACGGCCAAAGAAAGTGGACGGAGCTCAACATTTCAAAGACATACTGGGCCAGACTTCCCAGAAGAACCAGGTACCAGACTTCCCAGAAGAACCAGGAATCCAAAGCTGAGAAGACTCGTTTGTTTTCATCACACCTTCCTTCTTAACCGCATTCACTTTTACACACCGTGCCACCACCGCTGACCAGGCTTTCTACCTTCAAAATCTGATGCTCTACAGTGCACCAAGCAGCAAGGAATACCAAGTGACAAGCACCGACCCATCACCTTTCCACCCAGAAAGGTGAGTTTGAGCCCTCTCCTGGAAGTCTTGCAATCTCTCTAGTCATGGAAACTCCAGGACGTCAGCTGAAGTCATCAAGTGACTCTGAATGAGGCTCCTCTGTCTGCTCTGCCCTTCGAGAGGGGTTAATTCACGCAGGTTAATTCAAGCACCACTCCCAAGGATTCCTGGAACAGGGAATGCTGGAGATGCCGGATCTTTCACTGAATGACAAAACTCGTCCGGCAAGTTCCCTCGCTCGGGTCGCTTTATGCTACAGGAAGCTTTCATCACAAATCCCAGGCCGTCGTGTGTAATCCAGTTGTGCCATGAGCTCTTTGAGCTCTCCTCTGCCCCTGGATCGCTGTGACAGTGTCAGCTCTCAGGTTCGTGTGTTCCTCGCAGCTGGCAAGAGCTGAACTCTTAATTAACGTTTCCATTAGTTACCGTCCCCAGCACCCGATATCCCTCAGCTTCAGCCCTGCTGGTTGATGAGTCATTTCAGCTATTCATTAAAATCCTCCGAGGTCACGTCCAGGGCATGTTTGTTTACACCCCACCTTCCTGGCACCCTGTCCCTCTTCTCGAGAGAGAAGGTCTCGAGAGAAGGAAGGGCAGAGGCAAGCTCAGCAGGGAGTTTCATTCATGGGCCCTCCCCATCGTTCTCCTTCCCTCAGAAAAAAACCCAGGACTCCGCCGTTTGTACCGCTGGCATTGGCAGGAAGAGGCCTCGAGACATTCCCTGCGTCGCTGCCATTTGGTGTTTGTCCCCACCTCCACCCCCCTGCCGCTCCTCCCACTCACAAATTTACACACGGTTGGAGCGAGGCCAGTTCC